TTAATCCTGTGTTTCGAGGTGACAAATTCATTGAAATAAACTAATTTCTACGTGAAATTCTTCCGATGTATAAACATAAACACTTCAGGTTATTGTTGGGAGGCCATTTTTACTTGTTAAAAGCAAGCTAAGGAAGTACAACAATGATAAATTTCTGTTGTTATTACATCTGGCATACTCTCCTTTTTTTGTGAGTCGGTTGAATCACTGCTGTCTTCCAATCCTGGGGCATCTTCTGTGTCGTCCAAATTAGGTTTACTATTCTATGTAATATTGTGATTCCTTCATTACCCATATAAGTATTTCATCATTGCTTTGGCTTTTCCGGATTTGGTTTTACTTTTGTTCCAATTTTTGGTAGTTCTCCTAATAGATTCACAAAGTATTATTTCTTTTTTTTCTTTCTCGAATTATTCCCAACATTTGGCCGTCATTAATACGAAAGATTGGGCTCCCATTTCCGTTTGTTTGTCTGTCTGCCTGTCCGAATTTTTATTGGACAAATTATCTCCGAAACTATTGCATCGATTAATGTCATTTTTGTTAATTATATTAAGTAAGTAAAAAAGTAAGTAAAACGCTAACCAAAATTTGCCTAATCATCCCCACCAACAATGTGATGACGTCACTTCAAAATTGTACATAGTAAATGGGTTTTAAATTGTATAAAATAACATAGTCCTAGACATCTAGACAGACGGACACACGGACAGACGGACAGACGGATAGACAGACGGAAACGGGATTCCTATTTCTTCGTCTTCTAGGGGTCATGAAAGATCGAGAAAATGTAAAAGTAGAGAGTCGGCCGACGGACTCGATTACAAATCAAAATTATGAAACAACGTATCGCCTTGGAATCTGTAAAACCGAATGCTTTGAAATCTTGCACATAATTTACAGTTATGATACGCATGATAAATTTTTATTCAAAATATATTTACTTGTCCCCTCCAAAATATTGAGGACGTCATCTCAAAAGTTTGCCGAATGAATCCTATCTAAAATGTACAAAATATGATGAGTCTGTACTTGTGATTTATCATTCTATTCATATTTTTTTGGATTTGAATATACAAGGTGACTCAAAAAAATTAATGAATTCGTGAATTTATTTAATTGATTTAATCAAGAACTACAAAAGCGAATGCTTTGAAATCTTGGAGATATTTTACGGTTATCACAGGAATGGTAAATTTTTAATCAAAATATATTTCCTCATCCCCCCCCCCCCAAAAAAATTGATGACGTCACGCCAAAATTTTGCTAATAAATCATATCTAAAATGTACAAAATATGATGAATCTGTACTTGTGATTTATCATTCCATTCACATTTTTTTTAATTTGCATATACAGGGTGACTCAAGAAAATTAATGAATACCTGAATTTATTTTATTCATTTAATCAAGAACTACATTCCCGAATGATCTCAAATCTTGAATATGCTTTCAAGTAATCGTAAGAATAGAAAATTTTTGATCAAAGTGTATTTGCTCATCCCCCCTCTAAAAAAAAATGATGACGTCGCCCCAAAATTTGGCTGAATAAATCATATCTAAAATGTACAAAATATGATGAATCTGTACTTGTGATCTATCATTCCATTCACATTTTTTTTAATTTGCATATACAGGGTGACTCAAGAAAATTAATGAATACCTGAATTTATTTTATTCATTTAATCAAGAACTACATTCCCGAATGATCTCAAATCTTGAATATGCTTTCAAATAATCGTAAGAATAGAAAATTTTTGATCAAAGTGTATTTGCTCATCCCCCCTCTAAAAAAAATGATGACGTCGCCCCAAAATTTGGCTGAATAAATCCTATCTAAAATGTATAAAATATGATGAATCTGTACTTGTGATCTATCATTCCGTTTATCTTTTTTGAATCGTATACAAGGTGACTCAAAAAAATTATCAACTTTCGACCAATTTTTTTAAATCAAGCCAAGAACGCTTCACCCTATTTTCTAGAAAATTAAGTAGTGTCGCAACCCAAATATTTTTTATTGCAATAAGAGGTCCTCACCCAAAATAATATTTCGATCGTTTTGCTGCATTGTAGCTTAATTAATCATTTTCATTTGCGCGGTCGCTGATGCTTGTACGTGACTATAATCGAAGTATAAACATAAACACTCGAAGTTAAGCACATTATTACTAAGAGTATATTTTTGCGTTGGTTACCTGGTTTAAATAAATTTTCTAGACGACGCAGGAGCTCCGGGAGTTATTGTTCACGTCACTGGTTTTTACTTGATAGAGATTACAACAAAACAAAAATTGCAAAATCAAATGTTATAATCCTTCAAACAAGCAGGATTTGATGGACTGTACTTTATATGGTTATTCCACCATCTTGTTTTTAAACTTCCCATAGTTCTTCCATTTCCCTCAGCGGTTCCCTTCGATCCACGATTTTTTCTGTAGATGTTTTGTATACTTTCCTCTTGTAGGTTGAACGTTTTAATATTTATGTTTCACCTCTTCCTGTTTATATTTTCACACCTCTAAATAGTGGTCCCTAAGTACTTCCTAATTATGTGTGTAGATGTATGGTGCTATGTTGGAATCAGGTATTTCCTTTTAATATTAGACCATTCGGGATACAGGAATGTATTATTTATTTTACGTCTGCTGTAGATTTTATCAATTTCCTTAAATTTTCGTATCGCTGCTTCTGAACTCTGAAGTCTCCTACAATTATCAATATACCTTTGTTTGTTATCTATTTCTTTCTTTCTTTCTATCTTGTCCCCAAAACTCGCTCGTTTCTCTTCCAATTCGTTTGTTTTTGGTTTGTCGTTTGTCGTCTGTGTTACTTTTTACTGGACAGATAATAATCTCCTATATTATTGGACTGATTTATATAAAATTTTATACTCATTTTAGAAGTATCGTAGAGATGTGTAGATTTGTCTAATCATCCCTACCAACAATTTGATGACGACTGTACTTGTGGTTTATGAATTTACCTTGATTTTGTGTATTATCATTATACTTTTTTATTTTTTAATTCGTCTTGTTGTTTAGACACATAAGTGTATCTTCCATTACAATTGCGGTAATCAAGGGATAATGCGTCAACCTCATAGATGAGAGGTCCTTGGATTAAATATAGGGACAAATTATACTTGTTTTTTATTAATCAAATCAAGAATGGTTTATCCCATTTTTCAGAAAATTTGACAATAAAGTACTGTTATTATTAGTATTAGACTACACCTACTCAACCGATAGCCGAGAAGCCGTTCAAAGCCCTCTGCTGTCTTTGACATTTCAATATGTATCTATTGCTGTTGTGAGTGACACCTTGTTTTGAACTGCTTACGCACCATGACTTAAAAAACACCAAGTAATTTCTTTTATTGATCAAATCAAAAACCTCTCACCCTATTTTTCTTAAAATTTTGGAAACACAAAATCACAAAATTTTGCTATGGAAAACCTCACTTAGAACGCACGCACAGCATGCTCCTTTATCTTTACTTTAACAATACGGACATTCCTTTCTTTTAATTGATAGGGCTTATCGCAAAATAAATCAAGTTTGCAAAATCAAATTTTATAATTTTTCGAGACAGCTGAATATGTTGTACTGTGCTTCAGAGGCTTGGGAAGTTCGATCCAAATAAAATTAGATCAATTTTTGTTTTCCGGTTCGTCGTCATCTTTCGTCTCATGTGTTTTGTTATTATTTATTATCAGTTTGTTGTATTTTATGTGTGCTTCTCTTCAGTTGTTTCCAGTTTCCTTGAAATTCGGTGTTATCTTCCCTCTAATATATTCTGTAGGTAAGTTTCTTCTGTCTAGATTTCGGTGCTCTTGATAGTCTTTTTTTAAATCTCAAATTTCTCGTTTTCTTCTCAGTTTCTTAATTTTTTTTCATTTTAAATGTGTTAGACTATCTTGATAAAAATCAAGATGTTTGGGAATTTAAGAAAAAAAGGAAGACACAACTAGCAGCAGAAATGTTGAAAATTTCGGAAAGATCTGTCTACAAAAAGTCTAGATAAAGACAAAAGTTTATCCTGTAGATTTAATGTCATTCCGGGAGATTATCTATAAAGTGGTTGTCTCTAAAGAATACGTTACTATTAAGTTATTGCACTGTCGAGTAGTGGAAGAGATTCCCGATTTTAACGTTGGTCCTAGATCGTTAACCACCTGGATAAGAAAAATTGCTTTCAAATTTAAGAAAAATCGTAACAGATTATTTTTGATGGAACGGCTTTCAGTTAAATTAAAAAGAACCAAATTTTTAGGTGAATACCACCAACACAAAGGAAAAAATTTATATGAACCTCTTTTTCTTAGTGAAACGTGGGTATTTAGTAAAGGTATTATAAACCACTTTATAAAAAAGAAATGGCAAAATTTACCAATTGTTTAATTGATGGGTTTAACCTAATGGCATTACATACGAAAAGTTACTAAAAAATATCACATTCTAAGTATTTTTGACTAGGAGTATTTCTACGACTATACCGTTTGGTCCATTTATCGTGTCGACTCGACTCCCGAAAATACGACAATAATTCGACTCCGCACACAAACACATGTGTAAGTGAAGGCAGCCTGCATTTGCGTATTCTACAAAATGCGATTCGTCTGGAAAACGCAACATTAGATTTCCTTGCAATTAAACATTCAATTAGCTCATAAACTGTGCAATAAAAAAATGTCCATAACAGTCATGTGTGTAGCCACCAACATCGCCACCTCCGCCATCCGTCCGCCAGCAGCAGCAGCGCGCGGCGGCGTCAGGGGCACATGGCATGTATACGTACCCGTGGCGCGTATCTCATTCATACTTTTGCATAGAAAGTAGTCATTTTGTATGTACGAGAGAGTCGAGTGTACACCGGCCACAAACAAGACAAACAGAGACAACGCGATTACGTTAACATGCAAACGCTGTCTCGTGTTCGAGAGAAATTCAGCGGGGCGAGGGAAGCCATTGTAGTTACCATATATCCAGTGTTCTCAAGTCAGCCGTGGAGTCAAGTCGAGCTTCCAACAAAGCTCAACTCAAACTAATTCCAAAATTTTGGAAAAAGCGGGAGCGCGGGGTGACGAGTGGTGAAAGCGACCATCAGCCGACCGTGGAAAAGCTCAAGGCCGAAAGCTGCTGCAGGAATCCATGGAACCGATTGGCGGTGGTGGGGGAAACCACGTGTCTAGGTACGCTGAAAAATGCATAGTCTGTTTATTCCAATGCAAACGATGATTGGTCGGCAGGCACACGCTGAATTTATTACTCGGATATGCGGCGTTTTTAACAAACTTTTGTGGAAAAACAACCTTATCTAAATTAGCTTCGTATTAGCCTCCAATTCTTGATTTGTCATGGAGACCCCATAACATTTTTTTGACTGAATTGCATGATAGCTGAGTTGCTATAAACTATCTTTACAAAATCTTGATCTAGTATTAAAAAAAAACTACACTTTTTCGACATGGTGCTAAATTAAGCTTTAAAGAACATGTGTAAAATGTCTTTTATTCAGTGTGTACAATCAGACTTATTATTCAATTCACAGAAAGGGGGTATAAATGATGCACAAAAGCGTGTTTCAACCCTTTGCTGTATTGATTAGATCTGTAACACTGTCATGTTCAAATTGTTGCAAAATAAGTCTTGATGAACGACCAAACCATTTGAGAAAAATAATCTTAGTAGTGGTGAAAGTGTGGATGGCGTCATAGATCACGTGATCCCCTCTGTGAGGTTTACTGTGACGATGATGATGACGTCACAGCCGCTGCTGCTGCTCTGTAGACTACACATTTTTAAATTCATTAAATAAAAATAAAGTGGCGGCATTGGAGGAGTTGATTTTCAAAATTACTTCAGACTTTTTGTTGTTGATGTTTTAGGTTAGAAATTTTGATATGTACGAATTTGCTACTTTCCTTTTCACATCAGAATGGCATTTCTGTCTATAACATGTTAATAATCGAAAGTAAAAATAAAATATGGATTCCCATAAGAAAATCGCGAAATTTTGGGTACCATGTGACGATTTCTTTGGCAACATTTTCTGGACGTCTTACCCTGGATCGGATCTGTTTCGGACTACACCGTTATTTGTTCAGTAAGTATTAAAGTTTTTCCAACCAATGCCGAGGCTTGTCGAGGATTTTCGAGGGACTGTCAGAGGCATACCGAAGTTTTTTTTTTGAAAAGCTAATGTTTCTGTATTATCTATTTTTTTTTATTTTTACTTCCCGAGCGTAAGCAAAGGAAGTATTGTAATCGAGTCCGTCGGCCGACTCTCTACTTTTACGTTTTCTCGATCTTTCATGACCCCTAGAAGACGAAGAAATAGGTCTCCCATTTCCGTCTGTCTGTCCGTCCGTCTGTCCGTCCGTCTGTCCGTCCGTCTGTCCGTCCGTCTGTCCGTCCGTCTGTCCGTCGGTCTGTCCGTCCGTCTGTCCGTCCGTCTGTCCGTCTGTTGTCCCGGATTTTTATTAGACAGATAATCTCCGAAAGTACTCGACCGATTGTTGTGAAATTTTGTACTTATATTAAGAATATCATGTAGATGGTAAAACGCTAACCAAAATTTGTCTAATCATCCCCACCACTAAAGCGATGACGTCACTTCAAAATTGTACATAGTAAATGGGTTTTCAATTGTATAAAATAACATAGTCCTACACATGTAGTTTACAACTCTGAATCGACTTTTCACCCGAAACGTCCAGATTTTTGGAAAAAAAATCAAAATTATGAAACAACATTTTGAAATTTAATTTTTAATGTGCTAACCAGAATGCTTTGAAATGTTGCAGATGTTTTAAGGCTATAAAGAGCATCATAAATCTTTAGTCAAAAAATATTTGCTTATCCCCTCCAAAAACTTGATGACGTCAGCTCAAAAGTTTGTGGAATAAATCATATCTAAAATGTACAAAATATGATGAGTCTGTACTTGTGATTTATCACTCCATTCATATTTTTTGGATTTGCATATACAGGGTGACTCAAAAAAATTAATGAATGCGTAAATATATTTTTTTGATTTAATCAGGAACTACAAAACCGAATGCTCTTAAATCTTGCAGATGTTTTAAGGTCATAAAGAGCAGAATGAATGTTTAGTCAAAATATATTTGCTTATCCCCTCCAAAAACTTGATGACGTCAGCTCGAAAGTTTGCCGAATAAATCATATCTAAAATGTACAAAATATGATGAGCCTGTACTTGTCATTTATCACTCCATTCATATTTTTTGGATTTGCATATACAGAGTGACTCAAAAAAATTAATGAATGCGTAAATATATTTTATTGATTTAATCAGGAACTACAAAACGGAATGCTCTGACATCTTGCAGATGTTTTAAGGTTATAAAGAGCATAATAAATGTTTAGTCAAAATATATTTGCTTATCCCCTCCAAAAACTTGATGACGTCAGCTCGAAAATTTGCCGAATAAATCCTATCTAGAGTATACAAAATATGATGAGTCTGTACTTGTAATTTATCATTCCATTCATATTTTTTGAATTTGAATATACCGGGTGACTAAAAAAAATGAAATCTACTGCGAAAAAAGAAACATAATAGACATGCAGTCGTCACGTTTCCGACAGCGAGGGAAGTACTGTCTAAACTCTTTAGACCAATTTTTTTACATTTCTATTGTCTTACTTAATCCTTGTATATTATATTAGTTATATTTAAAGGATCGAAATAACCATTCTCTACTTTTACATTTTCTCGTTCTTTCATGACCCCTAGAAGACGAAGAAATAGGTCTTCCGTTTCCGTCTGTCTGTCCGTCTGTCCGTCTGTCTGCCGTCCCGGATTTTTATTAGACATATAATCTCCGAAAGTACTGGACCGATTGTTGTGAAATTTTGTTTTTATATTAGGAATATCATGTAGATGGTAAAACGCTAACCAAAATTTATCTAATCATCCCCACGACTGATGCAATGACGTCAGTTCAAAATTGTACATATCAAATGGGTTTTAAATTGCATAAAATAGCATAGTCCTAAACATGTAGTTTATGACCTCCAGATTTTTGGAAAAAAAATCAAAATTATGAAACAACATTTTTCAATTTAATTTTGAATCTGCTAAACCAAATGCTTTGAAATCTTGCAAATGTTTTAAGGTTATAAAATGCATAATAAATTTTGAGTCAAAATATATTTGCTTATCCCCTCCAAAAAATTGATGACGTCAGCTCAAAAGTTTGCCAAATAAATCCTATCTAAAATATACAAAATATGATGCGTCTGTAGTAGTGATTTATCATCCCATTAATATTTTTTGGATTTGCGTATACAGGGTGACTCAAAAAAATAGCATTGTATTTCAGAAGCGAGGGAAGTTGTGTCGAAACAACTTTCAACCAATTTTTCCTAGATGTGAATGATCTTCGATTTTATGTCATATGTTGGCATAAAATCTCGAGACAAATTTTTACATTGTTTTCATATTATAGATACCACGACGATCAACTATAGTTGATTTAATGTCGCATCTAATATAGTAAATATACAGGGTGGGTAATTAAAGCCCGCGTTTCTTGATATAATTCTCACTAATTATTCTAACTAAAAAAAAATTAGAAACTAAAGTTGTCCGGTTTTTTGAGCAGCATACATAAAATTATTTTCAACTATACAAACACTCAACTTAATATTTTTTGAGTAGAACATCCTATATATAATACATATTTTCATTCTTCTCCTCCTGGGTTTTAAGTATGTACTCGGTTTTTGAAATTCCGATGTGACGTCACATTATTCCAATTTTCTTGAAATTTTTTAGTTCTCAAAAAAACGAAGTAGGTTTAAAATTCTAAACATTACAATTTTCAGATGTCGATATTTTAGTTTTTTCAAATACTCCTAGTTTTTTTCTCATTCTTTTTTGTTAAGTATTAAGCGCGCTGTCTTCGATATCTCATTAATTAGGTACTACAGACAGAAAAAAGTCAAAAATTTGTACGCTTCTTTGATGACCTCACTCTAAAATTGTTTTTAACTATATAGAATGCTCGACTTTTAAGGCCTAATCCACACCTTAATTTTATAATGAAACATCCTATATATTATTACATTTTTTTTATGAAACCCTTCCCAGGCTATCTAACTGCAGTTTATTTTTGAAATTTTCACAATAGGGTGATTTTTAAAATTTGTGTATAATAATTTGTGGAAAGATAAATAAAGTACACGTTTTGTTGTGGTATCAATTTTATCAATTCGAATTTTAATATACATAGTGTTTATAAAAATTCTAAAACTTTACTATCTTTCAATATCGATATTTTCAGTTTTTGCAAATAGAGTACCCAATATTTTATTACTGTATCTCATTTTATTTTTCTTATTCTCATTCTTCTAATATGTTTAATAAGAAAAAAAAACACAAAATAGAATAAGGTGCAGTAACAATATACTGGGTGTTACTTTGAAAACACTGAAATATCCAGATTCAAAAACTGTAGTCCTACCTAGTTATTTTTTTTTATAAGCACTCTGTACACAAAAATTTAATTTCAATTAAGTATACCATAACAAAGCGCGAACTTTTATTTATTTTCCACAAAATATTGTAACAGACATTTTAAAAATTTATGTGAAAATAAAAACAAAAAATTTGGAATAACGGGCCAACACCGCATCGAAATTTCTAAGTTGTGTTACGACTTAAAAACAAAACACTCTGTATAATCAAAAATAATTTTAGAACATAATTCTCAAAAAACCGTATAACATTACTCTTTGACTTTTTTCTATTTCTAATAATAAATTATATATCCATAAACGCGCGGTTAGTGACTCACCCTGTACAACGTTCATAGCTTCTTCAATTTTCACATTTTTAGGAAGCATGCGGACGTATCGAAAAAAGAAAACAAAAAGTAGAGTAAGATGCAATAATACAATAAGTACAGATTGTTCCGTTTGAGAAAACTGTAATATCGATATTTGAATTTGTGATGATTTAGTTAGTTTTACTGTGAACACTCTGTATAATAATTTACCCGTCCGTAAAATATATATTGTAATACAGATCATAAAAATTATACTATTACGATTTTTTTAAAACTTTTACATTACTAACGAAATTGGTCGAAGGTTATTTCGACAGAGCTTCCCTCGCCTCTGAGGTATAGCCCAGCAAATCCGGTTTCTTTGAAAATTTATATCT